CCCCAAAACCCCAAAACCCCTATTGGTACAACCAAAATAAAATTTAAGAAAATGGAATCCAATTTTATAATAAAAACAACATTTATAGTAATGGATAACTTGAATATCACTAGTTTAAAGCCATAGTAGAGATACACAAGGAACTAAACATTCTAAGTCAAGAAATCTAATTCTATTCCTAAGACAAACGTACTTCTAATAACTAAAACCTCAAGAAACTAATTACTTAGCTAGCCTGGCTGGAGTAATACTAATGAAATGAAAAATACAACCACCTCTGGAGACTCCAAAGAAGCTTACTAAGTTAACTATCAATCTCCTCTAAATAAAGTCTCCTAAAATTAGAGACTCAATTATACAGATAACAAGCAAAGTTATAACAAAAATCATTAAGCTAACTATTAAGTAAAAGGAATTGAGGCCTTCGATTAGAATGCATATAATGATAAAATACCTAGGAATAATGCAACGATGGAGTCATCTGCAGACTTGTAAAGCCAAACAAACTATACCAAACAAACTCCAGTTACAGCAAGCAAAACTAATGTTTAAAGAAATAACTTTGGAGCATCAAATGAGTCAGCTTAGTTCTAAACTATGAACTCAGGATTTTACAAGAAAGAATAGATGTATAAAGTTTAAGGTAATAGCTTCAAGAATAAAAATGGCACACTTCCTTCTAAGTAACCAATGAGTCAACCTATCAATAGGTATGAAGTCTATTAAAGTTAATACTCAATCTAAGGAGGAAAATCAAATGTTGGATCTCCTGATCTACATAACAGATCAGTTGTTTTTATGGCTTCTCCCAATATAGGATTGCCTAAGCAAAATCTAACTACCTTCCAATCAATAATAGACTACAATGAGGGATAAGCACATGATAATTCTTAAAGTAAATCTGCTTAAAAGGCATACTTCAATCATAATAGGAGCAGCAGTAAGAATCAAGTTATTTATTAGAATGATCATGAGTATTTCAACACTCAGAAGGGACTTACTAATGATTCAATTAGAACAGCCAATAAGTCAAGGAATGGGAAAATGATACACAACTATACTACTGGAAACAAAAAAAACTATAGTAATAATATTAGATCTAACAACTCAGTAATTATCAATGCTGGAACATAGAATCAAAATAATAACTCGCTGCTTCTAAAGATACTTAATCTTAAGCAGTATCAACTTCAGTCATCTCATGATGGTTCACCGTTAAAAGACGATAAAATGGACTCATAGATAGAATCTCATAAGTTGAATACAAGTTTAAATAAGTTCTTCTAAAAAAGAAAGGAAGCTCCAGACTTCAATTCAAATCAGCAGTAAAAATAAGCTATTACTGAGATCAAACAATCTAGAAATAATCTTGGCAAGATTAGCCACACTTATTAGTCAAATTAAAATCCTAATGCGTCATTTTATTCTTAGGTAAAAAGAAAAGACTATTTGGAGAAATAGTAGAAAGAGTTCATCGAATCTTTGGGTATTAAAAATAGTTATTATATTCCTGGAGATGTTGATTTCCTTGAGAGAAATCTAAGAGAAATCGCTAATAATTCTCATAATAAATCATATATGGAATCTGAAACTTCAAAGTTGAGTGTTGCAGATAAATCATTTGAAACTGGTAAAAAAATAATTGGTTAATCTCCCCTTACAAAAAAAAGAGTAAACCCCTATGTGAAAAAGGAATAGAAATTTAAAAAAATTTATGAGGAAAAGCTTGTTGAGTTGCGAGGCTAGTAAAATACAATAACAAAGCCAGGAGATAGTATTTCAAGCATCAAATAGCTCAAACCTCCAGACATTTCTCTTTACAAGGAAAGAAATGATCCCTACTAAATAATATCCAATAGAATTAAAACAAGAGCTCAAATGATTGAAAGGAAATATTTGGATAAAAATGTTAAAATTTTAGAAAAATTCTTTGACCCATTGAGGATAAGAATAAGAGTGATGCCTGTGTCTAGAGCTCCATTAGTCTAAGGAAAGAACTCTGATTATTATTTTATTGAAGCAGCAAAACTAAGTTTAAAAGGAGACCTGACTAATGCAATTGAATAATTAAAAAAAGGACTAGAGCTAAAGCCAACTCACTTCCTTTGTAGATTTAATCACGGAGTACTCATGTTTAAACTTGGCTTAATATAGGAAGCTACCTCTGATTTTGAAATTCTAAATAGAATATATGGATTGAAAGAACCTGCTTCTACCTACAATCTTGCAATATGCTACGCATAAAGTGGAAAATACTAAGAGGGTAATGCTCTTTGTTCCCTAGTTATAGAATCATTAGGAAAGTAATTTTATGATAAAGAGCTACTATAAGACGCTTTCAAGTTAAAAGGAATCTGTTCTTTCAGATTAGGTGATGCTATAGAATCAATCAAGAGCTATAACTTAAGCAACAAGTACAGAATAGAGGCTATCTAGGATAAATAAGACATTGATGACAAAAACAAATAAATGACAGGATATGAGCTTGAGTGTATTTACATAGATCTATTCATTGAGGAGACTAAACACATATTTTAAGACTCAAAGTTCTAATAGGCATTAATGAAAGCTTCAAAATCTTAAAAGCATCTTAGGCCTTTACTTTTTGACATGCACTAGTTTAAGAGGTTCGGTTCAGAGAAAAATCTTGATGTTAAAACCTAGAAGAACTTTCAAATTAAGCTTATAAATTAAAATACTGGAACCGCTTAGATAGAAGACTGTGAGTCGCTAGGCTAAAACAGTGATCGTCTAAATTAGCAAGATTTCAACAAGCACATCTTAATAATGGATAAGTCATCATAAAAATTGGATGTAAATCATTAAAGATAACCTTCTAAATCAATGAAAAAAGCTAATAGACCTGACCATAGAAAAAATTATTCGTTAGATCTTAATGCTGACAAAGATCAGAAGACTGAGGCTGTAAGTCCAAATAACAAAAACAAATCGATTAGAAATTTCAGGAAAGTCTCATATAATGATTTCTCTAGTTTAGTCAATAATTAGTTGCACAATACAAAGAAGCTAACTTAATCAATTAGATCTAGAGTTGAAAAGGAGAAGTTAAAAAAATTTGTCGGGATTACTAATCTGTCTGTATTAGAGGCAAATTAATTCGATTTGGATTAGCAGAAGTCAAAAATCTACGAAGATTAGATATATAATGAGTTAAGAGACACAAAAAATAATATAATAAATGCTGGGTCTAAATATAGGCTAGAGAAGATATATGGAATTAGTACTGAGCATGTGAATAGCTCATCAATAATATTTGATGATATAACAGAAGAAGAGAAGAAAGAGATTGATAAAAGACGAAGAATCGAAGCGGAGCTAAATCAATCTTCAGATAATTAATAGCTTAAACTGTTTAAAGAATAAGAGTAGTAAGATGATAAGTTCCTTTAATTCTTGCTTGGGGCAAATGAAATTAAGATGAGAGAACTATTAGGAACTTATAATGAGAACTCAATAAAAGCAGTAATGAATGAGCAAAGAGACCTCGAAAATATGCTTAGAAACATGAGGGAGAAGTTTTCCTTAAAAGAGCAGGAATGGGAGAGAGAATATGCTCACGAGCAACGCAGAATTATGAATCTCTCACTGAATGATAGTGATGAATAAGAAGAAGTTGGTTTGAGCAATAGATCTCTCAAAAGAAAAAAGACTAAAGAAACAGTCATTGACAAACTTAATAAGAGTTTAATTGATAATGAAGTTACGCCAGATGACATTTAAAATATTTTGATAAGAGATCGAGACGAGAAATAAATAAAGGAAAACCAGAGCAAATACTAGCTTAAGAAGTAAAGGAAAAGATTAGCTTTAAGGCAAGTAGAAGTAATTAGGAGAGAGTTTGCTAATCTCAAGGAGAATGAGAACCAGAAGAGGACAATCAAACAGTTGGATTAAATTCTTTAGACATTAAAATTTTTCTAGAGATTTGATGAAGCCACCAGAAGTAAAATTTATCTTAATTCAGAGCTGCTAACGCTTGATGCATAAACTGTGATCTTTAACCAAGGTGATGTTGGAGATAAACTTTATATTATCTTAAAAGGGAGAGTGGCAGTTTAAGTAAATTCCCCTGATTATGGCAACTTGCCAGTTGTAGTGGCAACACTTAATGATGGTGAATAATTTGGAGAGCTCTCATTGATAAAGCTGAATAAACTTCAAGATCATAGTAAATAAGGGGAGATTTAAATTATTGAGGAAAAATCTCATGAAGAGTTTGCAAAAAGAAAAGCTACTTGTATTGTAATAATTATTAAGCCAAAATAATTTCATATAGGCAGTAGAAACCACAGATTTACTTACTTTACCTAAGGAAATAAGCATTTAATTATATCAGCCTGATGCTGCTCCTAAGAGAAAGAGCAGAGCAACCATTCCTACTAAGAATGCGAGAAGAAAAACAATTGATAGTATAACTTAAGAGGAGTAGGATGAGCTAAACTAAAAAATCTAATTTTTACAATCATTAGCTCTGTTTGAAGAGATTGATGCAGAGCTTTTGATGCCTATCGCAGTGAATATGATTCCTTGCACTTTTAATTTCGGTGAGTATGTAATTAAAGAAGGAGAAATACCTAAAGGACTCTATATCATAAAATCTGGCTAATGCAAAGTAGCTTGCCGTAGAATAGCTGAGAGGAATAAAAATGAGAATGAATAGGGGCAACTAAACAAGAAACTAGGAGAGAAGAAGAAAATCAAGGACAAGCATCCTCTTTTTAATGATTATGACCCAGACAACTCAATTTTGAATGTAAGTATTTACTTTTAATAATATCTTGATCAGGAAGTGAAATCTATGAATAAAGTTTTTCAGAATGATAGGATCTATGTATCTGGTACCGGTGATCAAGTCAAAGGAAAGATAGTCTACTAGGATATTGTAATTCTTACTTCTTATCAAATCTATAGATGACATTCTCATAACTAATGCCTAAAAATTTCTTCGGAGGCAGAGTTTTGTTACCATTTGAAATGTACATTAATCTCAGACGAATATACTTTGGCTAGGAGGACCTTTTGAGATATTATCCTAAGTCAACACCTCAGACAGTTATAGATCAAGAATCAGAGGAGCACTTTTAAATGAGAAGTTTATTGTCTGTAATAGCTGACTCAGGTCAGGTAGAGGTATATGTTCTTGATAGAAATGATATGAGCTTTATTCCAGATTTTATTGTAAGAAGAGTTTATGAGAAAATTGCTCTGACTCGTGAACCTGATCGACCATATAATCCCTAGAGAGTTGAAGAGATAAAAGATGCTATGATTAAATGGGATAAATATAAAGTAAAATGTGTTGAGAAATTGTTCAAAGAAAAATAACTGCTAGAGAAGAATAGCTAAATCAGATGATTAATTCTAAAATTTCATTATAATCTTAATTTCATGACTCACTATCAGATATATTTAACTCATTATTAGGCATGAGGGGTTTTGGGGTTTTGGGG